CGCAGGTCTCGGAGAAGTTCCAGAAGTTTGATCCTAAAAACTCTGCAAGCAGTGCTAGGGTCACTGCGAGTACCTCCACGAGGGCAAGCTTTCTTGTTTTCCTCCCAAGTCGCGTTGTAAGTAAACGTCAAAAAGAAAGTGGGGGAACCCAGGCGCGATACGATTGCCATAGCGTCTTCGTATTTTACTTTCATGTACCTGGGCCCCCCGGTGAACGAACTTGGGAGGTAGACTTTTCCTGCCTGCACCCCACCCTCGCCTTGGACGGTTTCATCACGAGCGATGTCGTTCAAGACCTGCTGTGCATTCCGAATCTCGTCAACCGGCCCCACCCGCAAGGCACTATCGGTGTTCTTCAGCTGCGTAAACTTAATGTAACGCAGTTTCTCCTCCTCGTACCTCGCGAACATCTCAACCTGCCAAGCTTGTGAGAGACGGCCTAGGTGAGAGAAGCGAGGTTCAGAAAGTAGGAGGCACCGCGAGTACTTAAATTGAGTCAGTTTGGCACCCTTGTTATCAAGGCGGCCAACGTGCCATCCCACAGTGCCTTGCGGGTAAAGTAGGGGATATTGGAAAGGTTCCATTAGGGGGTGTAAAAGATCAATAAATGTAGGTCTATCGGAACCGGATTTCCATATAGTCAGTCTCCGGGGCTCAGTGTCGTTTTCATCATTGCTGAGCACGGCGTGCACTTCGACGCCTGTTTGCCGATCACCGAGAACAGGGCCATGGGTAGACCTGCTTGTTACTTCAAAAGCCAAGTGAGCTGTTACGGAAGGCTCGTTGCTCAATCGACGGTAATGCTCAATGTAAGGATTTTCCCTAGACAGGAAATCAGCAATACCGTCGATGATCTCGGCATCAAGCGATCTACCCATCGCAATGTTACGGCGCTCTTCGCCATCGTCAATATACAGGCGGGACCGATTCACAAACTGAACGTTCCCAGAACGAGTGGTGAACTTTTGTCCTGGGGCGTCCAGATTGTAGACCTGGTGGTACATTCTTCCCTCGATCTTGAAAAAAGAAAGACCACTGGGATGACGATACCCGCCTGACACTTCGAGCGCGCAGAAAGCAAACAGGTCGTTGTACGCACGGGCTCTTTCCAGGAAGAGACGGTCGGAATAAAAGCGTTCTTGCAACGGAGGAATGTCGAGAACATTGAACGCTCCTTCCCCGCAGCACCATTGCTTTCTATTCTTCTCCTCCTCGAAGAGCCGTGCTTGGCAATGACGACATCTGTAAACGTCGTCAACCCAGAGACTGACTTTTTTTAATTTGTATGGTTGTATTTCATTGAGTGGCTCCCCATTCCAAACAGACATGGGGCCATTTTTGACTACGGACCGAGCAAGTGATGCGGGCATATAGCGAAGTTCAGACATTTTCGGATTTTTCAGGCGAAAAATCTGAACTCTCTCAGCAGAAGCACCGGGATTACGCAGGTCGTATTGCTGAACAGCCTTTCGGTGCACCTCAGGGTGGGTTTGAGTGTAACGTTGACTGTCATCCCGGAGTTTGTCAGCGTGCGTCTCCCTATACTTCTTCTTCGCCGCATCCACTTGCTCTTCTCGGGTCGTGTCTAAAAGCTTTGGACGACCACGCTTTATTGTTTTTGGTCTACCAGGACATTTGGTTTTCTGAACAACTGTCTCAGAGGCAGATTCTGATAACTGAGTTAAGTCATTGTCCGAACAGTCGACCGTGTGGACAGTTTGAGTTTCGTTGACGGAAAACTTTATTTTTGTGACGGAGTACTGCCCACCGACGAACGCAGAATTCACCAAAATGAGGGAAGCTAGAGAACGAAAACTATTACAGACGAACACCCTAGCCTTATTTCTCGCCTCATCAATGTCTCGACGACGGTTTTCGTTTACCGCGTGGGAATCAAAGAGGTACAGCCGCCCTTGGAAACGCCAAAAAGCGACTGTCACCAACTGTCCCGTAAACAAAAAACCGCTATCAACGGAGTCACCGGGCATAGCTGCTTCCAAAACCGAAGACAAGGAAGAGGTCACCTCATCTAGGCCATCGTTTCGTAACGGATACAACCCGTCCCAAACACAAGAAATTTCTTCGATGGTAACACGATGGTGTGCAACCACGAAGTTCCTGGCGAGGTCCTCAGGGAACAGATACCGGTTAGTGATGCTATGCTCACGGCGAGATAGTGTATACAAGCTATCGCCCGCCATGAGTATAGCGTCAATAGCGTTGGTACTGAATCCGCCGCAGAATGCTTGCCATGCGAGGGCACAGGTTGCATTTGCCATGCATTGAGCGTTGTTGCTCTCGGTAAATCTGGGATCTCCCTGGTGGAACGACCCAGCAGCAACGCAAGAGAATTCCATGCTTACAGAAAATTGCAGCAAAATCGCCAAAATAACAAGTCCAATAAATAGGAAGAAGTGACAGTGAAACTTAATCATGGGTAGCCAAATCCATTAGCAAAAATTAGAGCGAGAACCAAATGACTATACAGCGTTACTGACCTACGCGTTTTGGGGGTCAAGGAGTAAAGTTACGAAAAAACATGTGAAGGGTGAAATGTAAAGTAAACTAAGGAGAGTACGAAACATTAATAATATTTGAAGAAAAAATTTTTTATGTACGAAAAATTATCAAAAACCGTTAAAAATTTGAAGAAAATTTACCAAAATTTGAAAGTATGGCGTTTTTTTTAGGTGAAGGAGTGCGATTTTCTAAAAACGCGTAATAGTGTCTTGTAGGAAATTTAATTCCTGTTCATGAAGATTCTTTCAAATTTTTGCTAGCTATTACCGTTTTTTAGTTATAGTCGGTATTAAAAACCGTGTTTTTTCGTTTTTATACGTCTACCATTTTGGATTTTTTTGGGGGTTAAAATTTTTAAAAGGCATTTTTGCAAATTCCACCATTAACGGATGATCCCATACTGCAATACTACAAAAATTTAAAGTCTTTAGAACGTTTCTAAACTAATCAGATGAGCATACCAAAGTATTAAAATTACATAGCTATTCTCCATAAGGATAACATGGGGCTGGTAAAACCGGTAAAAACCAATCAAATTTTCACATTAAAATTAAGTTTTTGGGGGTCAAGGAGTAAAGTTACGAAAAAACATGTAAAGGGTGAAATGTAAAGTAAACTAAGGAGAATACGAAACATTAATAATATTTGCAAAAAATAATTATTTAGGTACGAAAACATAGCAAAAACCGATAAAAATTTGAAAAAAATTTACAAAATTTTGAAAGTAGGGCGTTTTTTGAAGCTTAAGGAGTGCGATTTTCTGAAAACGCCTAAGAGGGTTTTGTAGAAAATTTAATTCCTGTTCCTGGATATACTGTCAAATCTTTTCTAGCTCTTACCGTTTTCGAGCTACATCCGGTTGAAAAAAAAGTGTTTTTTCGTTTTCAGAGGTCCGCCGTTTTGGATTTTTGGGTGGGTTAAAATTTGAAAATGGGACTTTTGCATATTCCACCGGTAATGTAAGATCTTTTACTACAATACTACGCAAATTTGAAGTCTCTAGCACGTTTCTAAGTGGTTCAGATGGGAACACGAAAGTCGGCCATTTTTAATGTTATTCCCCATAAGAATAACATGGGGGGGGAATTCGAATTTTCGGGGGGGTTAAAATTTGAAAATGCGACTTTTTGGAATTTTATGGGTGGTTTGGGCACTAGACCTACAACCACCGAAAATTTCAAGTCTCTAGCTCATCTAGAAGTGGTCTAGAATTTGTATCCCCAGTCAGTTACACATCGGATTGTATAGTATTTAGACTCGCCTTTGGCTCGCTGGGGGCTCCGCCCCCAGGCCCCCTAGCTGTTAGTCGTCATTAGTAGATTAGAGTTAAGTTGTAACAAAGCAAGAAGTGAAACCGTCAATATTAAGTTATATAAGTTAACTTTGAGTAAGATAACTTCTAGCTTAAGGAACACCTCATAAAAAAATCATTTTTTAAGTTGCGGTAAGTGAGTATGTTAGTCAAGTATTTTTACAATTGAGTTTTTGGTCAAAGGAAGTAATAATATGAGGAGAGAAGGGTTCGTTATAGTAAAAATCGACATTAAAGTAATAACGATTTCATGAATTTATTAGAGGAGATTGATAAGTTAATAAGTTGATAATAGTAAAGTATTATATGAAGTAAATAGATTATAGTAGATATTCAAGTATATAATTACGAAAATAGATTAAGTAAGGTTTGTTTCCCTGTCGGTTAGCCATAAACTTTATGGCATATCCAGTTCCGCCACGAGGAGGCCAGGAAACGTCGGAACCATATTTGCAATTATTTGAATATGTACAAGTTAGTAAACTTTTGTACAAGATAAGTAAATTTATATTGATGTTCATTGATAGGTTAATAAGTTGATAATAGTAAAGTATTATATGATGTGAATAGATTATATTAGATATTCATGTATATATGATGTAAATAGAAAATAGATTATAGTAGATATTCATGACGTATATATTTATGAAAATAGATTAAGTAATGTTTGTTTCCCTGTCAGTTAGCCACAAACTGTATGGCATATCCAGTTCCGCCACGAGGAGGCCAGGAAACGTTGGAACCATATTTACAATTACTTACAAATGTACAAATTAGAGAACTGTTGTATAAGATGAGTAGATTGATTAGTATGTCGATTGATAAGTGAATAAGTTGATAATAGTAAAGTATCATATGAATTAAATAGATTATAGTAGATATTCATGTATATATTTATGAAAATAGATCAAGTAATGTTTGTTTCCCTGTCGGTTAGCCATACAATTTATGGCATATCCAGTTCCGCCACGGGGAGGCCAGGAAACGTCGGAACCATATTTACAATTATTTACAAATGTACAAGTTAGTAAACTTTACTAACTACTTTATACAACAACGGGGACTTTTGATAAGGCAGGCCCCCTATCGTACTGCCGATGTTGTCAAGTCACAACGGGGAGTTTTGATTAAGCAGATCCCCTAGCCTACTGCTAATGTCAAATCAGGTTTAGAGAAGGAGATCGCCATACACGATGTTCTTTGCGTATGCGATTCCATCTCGGACACGTTCGGGGTGTACGAGAACAACAATATGGTCTGGATGTCTGACCCTACTGAGCAAGACGTATAGTTGCCCGTGCGTGAAGCAATCGGTCCGTAAATCAACACCGACTGAATCTATTGTCTGACCTTGGCTCTTGTGTCCGGTCATGCAATAGGCCAACATCAGTGGGAACTGACGTCGACGAACACGTAACGGCGAACCCTCGACAAACGCAAAAGTAAAGGTAATCCGGGGAATTCCGATAGGTTGCGTCTGTCCGGGAAGTCTCACTGTAATCAGGCGGTTGGTGATGCCGATTACGATGACTTTAGTGCCGTTGACGAGTCCTTCAGCGATGTTGAGGTTCCTCATAATGAGGCAAACAGAACCGATCTTCAGCCGCAGAACATGGTCTGGTACGCCCTTGCCAGTAGCCGTGTTCAGGAGTTGAACGTCGACATCCAGGCCATCGTCGTTCTCTCTGTCGACTGTGTCGGCGCTCCTCAGCTCGTACAGATGACCGTCGAGGGAGTTCAAGATGTGGTCGTTGATCTCCTTGACGTTCACTATCAGAGTCGAGAGGATTGCGCGTCGCGAACACATATCAGAGTCGAGTAGGACGTTTGCGGGAAAGACGGAATCGACCAAATCAGTCAAAGACGTCACTTGTCTAATCCCGAGCAGCGGAATTAGACTTTGTTCGTTCCGTCCCTCCAAGAAAGTGGTCGAACTGACAGTTCCGTTGCCTACCCTAAGAAGGAATTCGGAATAGGCTGTGGAACTACTAGTCCGATGAGCTGTTGTCAGGGCAAAAATTTTGAAATGCTGCCACAGATGGGAAGCCCGAAGTGAGACACAAACAATGTCAGTTGGAGTACGAGCGTTTACAACGACAGGCGCGATCTGGCGAAAGTCGCCACAACAGAGGAATATTTTACCACCGAATAGCTCACTGGAACGCATGAGGTCTCGCAGGGATCTGTCAAGAACCTCGAAAACGAACCGATGTGCCATCGGGGCCTCATCAAAGACAATGAGCCTTGCGGCCCTGATGAGCTCTGCTCGCTGGGAGCCGTTGGTGATGTTCCAAAAGCCGGTGCCGTCACCGAAGTCGAGTGGCAACCGGAACATGCTGTGAGCTGTAGTTCCACCAGGCATGTTACCCGCGGCGATCCCAGAGCTAGCGACTGCCAGTGCAACCTGACGACAACCTCTCACGTATGCGAGAATGACACGAATCAGAGTGGTCTTCCCATAGCCTCCCGGGCCGTCAAGAAAAATGATTTTCGACGACGTTCCGCTGGCAGGGGCATTGAGAACGGAGGTAACGTACTCAAATACGCGGTTTTGATCTTCAGAGAGCTTTGGCACCCACTCCTCCACAAACACTCTCTGTTGATTTTCACCATGTAAGAGCAGTTCTCTGCCCAACTCCGTCGTGTCATCGTGTACATCGGGGAGGCCATGATCTGCGACGCAAGAACCCTGCCGACGAAGACTCCGATCAATATCGATGAGACCTAGCTTGTAGGCCAGTTCAACATCGAGAGGATTACGCTCTATGTGGTCCTCGCAGATGGAATCACGGAAAGCATCCCACAGGAGAGCTGCAGGAGCCCCCATGTTGCAGAGGATCACAAAGAAAGAACGAAGTCTCGGGCCAGTCATGAAAGTGGCGGCCTCGCGCAGTGCGTAGTGGTACTCCTGTTCGTCTTGCACCAAGCCAAGATGCCGCGCGACCCCTTGAAAAGTGCGGCAGTTTGGTCCACCGCGGGACAGGAGGTCGGCATAACCACGGCAAGATACAGTCATAAGCAGGATACGCAGGTAATACTGTTCTGTCCTGCTCGGTGAGACCCAAAACAGTCTGCACACCTTCTCGCCACGCTGTCGGGCAGTGATAAAATGGACGCCATCGGGGTGCTCGTATATCTCCGCAGTTTTTGGGCGCTTGACATGAACCACAAACGTTTCATAGAACCCCTGATAAGTCAGGTCGTCAAACAGTGAAATACGAGGCCGGTCAAAGTAGATGGTGAGTTTGGAGCTGTTCCTAGCGGCTGCCTCTGCCAGTTGGCCAGGTCTAAACAGGACGGACTGCTTGCCCTCCAGATGGACGGGAAGACATTCAACAGCCGGCTCAGATTCTGATACTGGAAAGTTTAATAAACGCCAGCACGCGTCACTGGCACCCACCATTCTCTTCGTCACGTAATGCTGTACCTCATCATCTTGCTTACTGAAGGGAGTAACTGTGACGTTCTGGAGAGATCCTCCCTTCATAAGATATTTGAAGAGGTACTTAATCACGCGGCGAGTAGACGCCAGCTCCAAATTGATGTGAGCCTCGTATTTCAACATCAGTGCGGGATTATAAGGCACAACCCAACCGTCATGTACGATAATGTTCTTATTGCGTGATACAATTGTCCCCCGATTGGTATAATCTCGCTTGTACTGGACGAATCCCCTCTCGTCGACGTGGGTGGTTTCACAGCAGGGCTTGGGGAAGTATTTGGTGCAGTAACCCTTTGCAGAGTCCCAACAGAGAAAGTCAGTCCTATGATCATTACCACATGGACCGTGGATCATGTGTTTGAGGACCAACTTTCTCAGTCGGCCTCCGGCCTCTTCTTCCGAGGGAATATCCGCGCGGATGATGGAGTCAATTTCGGACGCCTGAACTGGTCCGTCGCCGTCAATCTTGAATACAATGTGGGCGTGAGGAAGGCCCCTCATTTGCATCTCGATGACGTAGACGATATAGACAGAGCGTCCAAACATTGCTCCGCTGCGCAGGTCTCGGAGAAGTTCCAGAAGTTTGATCCTAAAAACTCTGCAAGCAGTGCTAGGGTCACTGCGAGTACCTCCACGACTGCTTGCCCTCCAGATGGACGGGAAGACATTCAACAGCCGGCTCAGATTCTGATACTGGAAAGTTTAATAAACGCCAGCACGCGTCACTGGCACCCACCATTCTCTTCGTCACGTAATGCTGTACCTCATCATCTTGCTTACTGAAGGGAGTAACTGTGACGTTCTGGAGAGATCCTCCCTTCATAAGATATTTGAAGAGGTACTTAATCACGCGGCGAGTAGACGCCAGCTCCAAATTGATGTGAGCCTCGTATTTCAACATCAGTGCGGGATTATAAGGCACAACCCAACCGTCATGTACGATAATGTTCTTATTGCGTGATACAATTGTCCCCCGATTGGTATAATCTCGCTTGTACTGGACGAATCCCCTCTCGTCGACGTGGGTGGTTTCACAGCAGGGCTTGGGGAAGTATTTGGTGCAGTAACCCTTTGCAGAGTCCCAACAGAGAAAGTCAGTCCTATGATCATTACCACATGGACCGTGGATCATGTGTTTGAGGACCAACTTTCTCAGTCGGCCTCCGGCCTCTTCTTCCGAGGGAATATCCGCGCGGATGATGGAGTCAATTTCGGACGCCTGAACTGGTCCGTCGCCGTCAATCTTGAATACAATGTGGGCGTGAGGAAGGCCCCTCATTTGCATCTCGATGACGTAGACGATATAGACAGAGCGTCCAAACATTGCTCCGCTGCGCAGGTCTCGGAGAAGTTCCAGAAGTTTGATCCTAAAAACTCTGCAAGCAGTGCTAGGGTCACTGCGAGTACCTCCACGAGGGCAAGCTTTCTTGTTTTCCTCCCAAGTCGCGTTGTAAGTAAACGTCAAAAAGAAAGTGGGGGAACCCAGGCGCGATACGATTGCCATAGCGTCTTCGTATTTTACTTTCATGTACCTGGGCCCCCCGGTGAACGAACTTGGGAGGTAGACTTTTCCTGCCTGCACCCCACCCTCGCCTTGGACGGTTTCATCACGAGCGATGTCGTTCAAGACCTGCTGTGCATTCCGAATCTCGTCAACCGGCCCCACCCGCAAGGCACTATCGGTGTTCTTCAGCTGCGTAAACTTAATGTAACGCAGTTTCTCCTCCTCGTACCTCGCGAACATCTCAACCTGCCAAGCTTGTGAGAGACGGCCTAGGTGAGAGAAGCGAGGTTCAGAAAGTAGGAGGCACCGCGAGTACTTAAATTGAGTCAGTTTGGCACCCTTGTTATCAAGGCGGCCAACGTGCCATCCCACAGTGCCTTGCGGGTAAAGTAGGGGATATTGGAAAGGTTCCATTAGGGGGTGTAAAAGATCAATAAATGTAGGTCTATCGGAACCGGATTTCCATATAGTCAGTCTCCGGGGCTCAGTGTCGTTTTCATCATTGCTGAGCACGGCGTGCACTTCGACGCCTGTTTGCCGATCACCGAGAACAGGGCCATGGGTAGACCTGCTTGTTACTTCAAAAGCCAAGTGAGCTGTTACGGAAGGCTCGTTGCTCAATCGACGGTAATGCTCAATGTAAGGATTTTCCCTAGACAGGAAATCAGCAATACCGTCGATGATCTCGGCATCAAGCGATCTACCCATCGCAATGTTACGGCGCTCTTCGCCATCGTCAATATACAGGCGGGACCGATTCACAAACTGAACGTTCCCAGAACGAGTGGTGAACTTTTGTCCTGGGGCGTCCAGATTGTAGACCTGGTGGTACATTCTTCCCTCGATCTTGAAAAAAGAAAGACCACTGGGATGACGATACCCGCCTGACACTTCGAGCGCGCAGAAAGCAAACAGGTCGTTGTACGCACGGGCTCTTTCCAGGAAGAGACGGTCGGAATAAAAGCGTTCTTGCAACGGAGGAATGTCGAGAACATTGAACGCTCCTTCCCCGCAGCACCATTGCTTTCTATTCTTCTCCTCCTCGAAGAGCCGTGCTTGGCAATGACGACATCTGTAAACGTCGTCAACCCAGAGACTGACTTTTTTAATTTGTATGGTTGTATTTCATTGAGTGGCTCCCCATTCCAAACAGACATGGGGCCATTTTTGACTACGGACCGAGCAAGTGATGCGGGCATATAGCGAAGTTCAGACATTTTCGGATTTTTCAGGCGAAAAATCTGAACTCTCTCAGCAGAAGCACCGGGATTACGCAGGTCGTATTGCTGAACAGCCTTTCGGTGCACCTCAGGGTGGGTTTGAGTGTAACGTTGACTGTCATCCCGGAGTTTGTCAGCGTGCGTCTCCCTATACTTCTTCTTCGCCGCATCCACTTGCTCTTCTCGGGTCGTGTCTAAAAGCTTTGGACGACCACGCTTTATTGTTTTTGGTCTACCAGGACATTTGGTTTTCTGAACAACTGTCTCAGAGGCAGATTCTGATAACTGAGTTAAGTCATTGTCCGAACAGTCGACCGTGTGGACAGTTTGAGTTTCGTTGACGGAAAACTTTATTTTTGTGACGGAGTACTGCCCACCGACGAACGCAGAATTCACCAAAATGAGGGAAGCTAGAGAACGAAAACTATTACAGACGAACACCCTAGCCTTATTTCTCGCCTCATCAATGTCTCGACGACGGTTTTCGTTTACCGCGTGGGAATCAAAGAGGTACAGCCGCCCTTGGAAACGCCAAAAAGCGACTGTCACCAACTGTCCCGTAAACAAAAAACCGCTATCAACGGAGTCACCGGGCATAGCTGCTTCCAAAACCGAAGACAAGGAAGAGGTCACCTCATCTAGGCCATCGTTTCGTAACGGATACAACCCGTCCCAAACACAAGAAATTTCTTCGATGGTAACACGATGGTGTGCAACCACGAAGTGCCTGGCGAGGTCCTCAGGGAACAGATACCGGTTAGTGATGCTATGCTCACGGCGAGATAGTGTATACAAGCTATCGCCCGCCATGAGTATAGCGTCAATAGCGTTGGTACTGAATCCGCCGCAGAATGCTTGCCATGCGAGGGCACAGGTTGCATTTGCCATGCATTGAGCGTTGTTGCTCTCGGTAAATCTGGGATCTCCCTGGTGGAACGACCCAGCAGCAACGCAAGAGAATTCCATGCTTACAGAAAATTGCAGCAAAATCGCCAAAATAACAAGTCCAATAAATAGGAAGAAGAAGTGACAGTGAAACTTAATCATGGGTAGCCAAATCCATTAGCAAAAATTAGAGCGAGAACCAAATGACTATACAGCGTTACTGACCTACGCGTTTTTGGGGGTCCAGGAGTAAAGTTACGAAAAAACATGTGAAGGGTGAAATGTAAAGTAAACTAAGGAGAGTACGAAACATTAATAATATTTGAAGAAAAAATTTTTTATGTACGAAAAATTATCAAAAACCGTTAAAAATTTGAAGAAAATTTACCAAAATTTGAAAGTAGGGCGTTTTTTTTAGGTGAAGGAGTGCGATTTTCTAAAAACGCGTAATAGTGTCTTGTAGGAAATTTAATTCCTGTTCATGAAGATTCTTTCAAATTTTTGCTAGCTATTACCGTTTTTTAGTTATAGTCGGTATTAAAAACCGTGTTTTTTCGTTTTTATACGTCTACCATTTTGGATTTTTTTGGGGGTTAAAATTTTTAAAAGGCATTTTTGCAAATTCCACCATTAACGGATGATCCCATACTGCAATACTACAAAAATTTAAAGTCTTTAGAACGTTTCTAAACTAATCAGATGAGCATACCAAAGTATTAAAATTACATAGCTATTCTCCATAAGGATAACATGGGGCTGGTAAAAACCGGTAAAAACCAATCAAATTTTCACATTAAAATTAAGTTTTTGGGGGTCAAGGAGTAAAGTTACGAAAATACATGTAAAGGGTGAAATGTAAAGTAAACTAAGGAGAATACGAAACATTAATAATATTTGCAAAAAATAATTATTTAGGTACGAAAAACATAGCAAAAACCGATAAAAATTTGAAAAAAATTTACAAAATTTTGAAAGTAGGGCGTTTTTTGAAGCTTAAGGAGTGCGATTTTCTGAAAACGCCTAAGAGGGTTTTGTAGAAAATTTAATTCCTGTTCCTGGATATACTGTCAAATCTTTTCTAGCTCTTACCGTTTTCGAGCTACATCCGGTTGAAAAAAAAAGTGTTTTTTCGTTTTCAGAGGTCCGCCGTTTTGGATTTTTGGGTGGGTTAAAATTTGAAAATGGGACTTTTGCATATTCCACCGGTAATGTAAGATCTTTTACTACAATACTACGCAAATTTGAAGTCTCTAGCACGTTTCTAAGTGGTTCAGATGGGAACACGAAAGTCGGCCATTTTTAATGTTATTCCCCATAAGAATAACATGGGGGGGGAATTCGAATTTTCGGGGGGGGTTAAAATTTGAAAATGCGACTTTTTGGAATTTTATGGGTGGTTTGGGCACTAGACCTACAACCACCGAAAATTTCAAGTCTCTAGCTCATCTAGAAGTGGTCTAGAATTTGTATCCCCAGTCAGTTACACATCGGATTGTATAGTATTTAGACTCGCCTTTGGCTCGCTGGGGGCTCCGCCCCCAGGCCCCCTAGCTGTTAGTCGTCATTAGTAGATTAGAGTTAAGTTGTAACAAAGCAAGAAGTGAAACCGTCAATATTAAGTTATATAAGTTAACTTTGAGTAAGATAACTTCTAGCTTAAGGAACACCTCATAAAAAAATCATTTTTTAAGTTGCGGTAAGTGAGTATGTTAGTCAAGTATTTTTACAATTGAGTTTTTGGTCAAAGGAAGTAATAATATGAGGAGAGAAGGGTTCGTTATAGTAAAAAATCGACATTAAAGTAATAACGATTTCATGAATTTATTAGAGGAGATTGATAAGTTAATAAGTTGATAATAGTAAAGTATTATATGAAGTAAATAGATTATAGTAGATATTCAAGTATATAATTACGAAAATAGATTAAGTAAGGTTTGTTTCCCTGTCGGTTAGCCATAAACTTTATGGCATATCCAGTTCCGCCACGAGGAGGCCAGGAAACGTCGGAACCATATTTGCAATTATTTGAATATGTACAAGTTAGTAAACTTTTGTACAAGATAAGTAAATTTATATTGATGTTCATTGATAGGTTAATAAGTTGATAATAGTAAAGTATTATATGATGTGAATAGATTATATTAGATATTCATGTATATATGATGTAAATAGAAAATAGATTATAGTAGATATTCATGACGTATAT